TACTACTAAGCATGATACTAGGACTACTACTACGACTACTACTACTACTACAGGTACTAATAATAATACTAATAAGACAACCAATACTAATAAATTCAAAAGAAGAAGAATACTATTAATAAGAAGAATAAGAGCAATACTAATACTAATAATGATAGAAGTAATAATGCTATTAATAATACTGATCACAATAATAATATGAAGAGGAAGGAGCAGACGCGCCGCGCCGGCGTGGAGGTCGAGCTCCGCCGCGACGGCGCGGCCCTCCGCGCGGCCGCCGCCGGCGAGCCGATCTGGCCCTCGCCCGCGGGCAGCGCCGAGACTGCTGGGGCCCCCTGGCGCGCCCAGCGAAGAGGCGGCCCTCGGCCTGGGGCGGAGCGGCCCCCGCAATTGAGGTACAGGCATCTGCGTTTGCACCCGCGCATCTTGGTTGACGGCTTTTCCAAGCTGGGTATTGGATTTAATGTGCTGAAACAGGCGATCGCGCCGGGCAGAGTGCGCGTCCCTCGAGGTCATCCTCTATCCGCCGCCTTCTTCGACCTACCTGGCGAAGGCGTCGTCGCATCTCCGCCTCGCCCCCTCGCGCGGCCCCGGGGCCGCCGCCTTGCCCCGGGTCTCAGGGCGGGCTTTCGGGCGCATCTTCTGCGGCCAGGAGTCGCCGACATACGCGGGCGCGGCCCGCGTGAACTCGCGTCGTCCACGTTCGTGAGCTCCTCCAGTGCTGCCCCCAAGAGCACGAGCGACTTTCCCGTCTGGAGCGGGATCTCGCCCCCCGCCGCGTCGTGCGCTTCTGGCCCAGACGGCGACGGGATTCCCCTGCTGAGGTCGTGGGAGTGGTCAGTTCTGGCTCTTTTCCCCCCCTGTCCTTCTTCTCCGCCATGGCTGGTCGATCGCCCGTGCAATCGCGATTCAAATGGGGTGCCCATGCTGATTTTTAACGTCGGCGCCAGCGCGTGCCTGCGCCTTGCATGGGGAGTAAGAGAGCCCCGCGTTCTATCTACATCTTATCGCCGCAGTGCTTTCTCCGTCCCCGCTTCCAGCCCCTGCAGTTCTAGTTCTTTCTCCTCGCCCCCCCCGCCCCCCCCTTTCCCCGTCGCCCCCCCCCCCGCCCCCCGTGCGGGCGAATGGGGCTGTCCTTTGTTTCAGTCTGATTCCAAACAGGCTGGCAAGGGTGAGAGTCAAAGTTGGCGGTGGGTTCTCGCCGCCTTAGCTATCTGCACCTCGCGCGCTGGATGCGAGGGCGACGTGGAGCAAACGTGGTTCGATTATTCGACTGCGGCGTGGCCGAGCCATGAATGCCATGCAGCGGCGATCGCAACTGGAGATCTCACTACCAATATTTTTTATGTCCTTATCAATTGCGCTATCAATATGGTTATAGCTCGCGCGAGCGGTCTCGCGATCTCGCTATCGATCTCATTGAATCGACTTCGCTATGGGTCTCACAATCGACCTTGTTATCGTCTTCGAGATCTATCCCATTATCGATTTCGCCATCGATCTCACAGTCGTTCGCAATAACTAGGTCGAGGCGTTTCACTCAAAACATGTTTTTTTTGGTTGTTTGTTGTTTGCTTCGTGTTTTTGGTGCATATTTGTGTGTCTATAATTTTGTTTACGTGTCGTGTTATTCCCATCGGCTTCTTACTGTGCGATTGACACGTAGTAGGCCAATCATCATTGGGTTCTTCAAGGGCATCTGTCGGGCAACGCGATCAACGCGCAGTTCAGCTGGCAGTCCTGCGAAGCTACTGGGGCGCCCAGTGGGGCAGCGACAACGCTCAATGGGCTTGCTTCCGTGGCGGGCGATGCGACGCGCGCTGCCTCGAGCGTCTCCGCGCGCGTTCGAATGTCGGCGCGTAGGAGTTGGACGCCATCTACCGCTGTGGGTTTACTTGGCGAGCGTGACTGCGCGGGGCACCCCGAGCAGTCGCTGAGTGGCCGCATTCGGGCGCGTGTCCAGGAAGACAAGAAGGAATGGTTGGGGGGCCAGTTGGCGAGCGGATCATGGAGCGCGGCGCGCAATTTGATAAACAAAAGCAATGTCAAAGCGAATGGGCCAGTGCATATTCGTGATTGGCGTGGGCGTGTAGTGGGTGGCGATCGTAGCGGAATCAGTTCGGCCGAGGATCTCGAACAAGTGCAGTGGGCAGTTCCCTGTCTTGCGAGCGCGGCCGGCGGGCGAATCCACGTGGGAGAACGTTTCCAGTGAAGTGTGCCCCGTTTTCAACTGGCGAAAATCGGTTGCCCTCGCAGCCTGTCCATGGAGACAGCTGCGGGCGTCGACGGCGTGCGTCCAGAATTTGTGTAAATCTTTCTTCTGAGATCCACGGGCCATGCGAGCTCTGTCGCCTCTCTACCGTCGGCGATGGGATGAGGGGGCCATGCCGGACGCTGCGAGTAGCTGTAGCCGCCCGCTTGCGTGAGAAGGGGTGCTCGTTTACAGGGGAATTGCAGGCCTATGTCACTGTTGCCCGTCGCCAGCCGCGCCCCGGCGTGGATGGTCGAAGCGCGATTGCGACGCGGCTGTGCGGAGGGCCGAGTGCGGAGCTCGCAGTTTGGTTTTCTCGCCTGCGTCGGAGCGCCGCCGAGGCCGCGGCGATTGTTGGATTTGTGTTTGCCGCGGCGCACGCGTCGAAAGCCCTGGGGCCCATGGCGATTTATTTTGTAGATTTGGCGAGCGCGCTCGATCAGATCAGCCGCGACGTGTTGATTGGAACACTCGCTGAGTGTGGCGTTCGGCGCGCCGGGACAGATGGTGGACATGATGGCGGGGTATCCAGGAATCGTCAAATTATCTTGCGGCATGATGCGAGTAATTCGTGGCGGCGGTGACAAACGTCAGACGTGGCAGAGGGGTGCCCTCCGTCGCCATATGTGGTCATTATTGTGCAGAACGTCGTGTTCGTTGACGTTGACCACCCCGCGGGGGGCATGTGCGCAGATGTTTGTGGGCCGCGTTTTTTGTTTGCTCCGATATTTTATTCGCAAGCGACGCAGTTGTTGCAAGTAGCAGGACGCCGTAATTTGCACAAGAAAGAAGTATGGGCTCGAATTGCACTGGGCCGCGACGGTCGCCGTCAATCTACAGCGCAGTGGGATTGTCCAGGCCCCCTCCATCACCCGTGGCCCCAGCTCGGCAAGTTGTTCATTGTGGCCTGTCTTAACGCGGCCCCCGCCGCCAGGCCAGAGCTGCGCGCGGCGTGTTCAAAGCGTTGGAGCGTTGGTGGGCACACGCCGACAGCACGAAACGTAGGACAGTCGAGTTATACAGCGCGATGGCGCTTCCAAATTTAGGTACAATCTAGAAACGATATTTCTTTCGATGACCGACACAAAGAGGATATCATTGTATGTATGTATGTTTGTACGTGTATCTATATATAGATATGTTATATATATGTATACACATATATGTATATACGTACGTACATACATATATATATATATATATATATATATATATATATATATATATATATTCAACGTGCGGCGACTCATGCGGATTTGCCTAATATCGCGCGCACATTTTTCGAAACATTCAACGAACGGATTTTGAACACACCTCGAGCCCACGCTCTCAGCGAAACACTCTACGAAAAACAGATTTCACAGTTCAGGGTCGCAGGGTTGTCACAAGACCACCCGTTGCGGGTTCTCACATGCCAGCCGAGGCCATTTTTGTTCCGGATCTGGGACCAATGCCGCGAAATAGAGGCAGATCGAAACAACAGTGGCTTTCGTGCGTCTTCAAGTTTGTATAATAACAATAATCGTGTGGTGATTCCTAATTTTCCTCGTTTTCCTCCTGTCCCTCCTCATGGTTGGCTCCGGCTCGCTTCAGTTTGGAGTGCGCGCCAGCCCTGTCTCGTACTTTATGTTGTATCTTTTCGCCACTGCGCTGTTGAGCGCCTGGCTGCTGTCTGTCGCCCCTCAGGCGGTGCTGGCGGGGATACTGGGCGGAGGGCCGTCAAAAAAAATGCCGCAGCGTGTGGCGGCTCCGCCCGACGGCGTGGCCCGCTGGGATTCGCTCCGCCCCGCTTTCCCCCCCCCGCCCCTCCCACCCCCCTCGCGTGGAGGCGACCAGGAAAGGATGCTGGTATCCCTCTGGCTTCAAAGGGCCTAGTGAGGAGGAGGGGGAGGAGAAGGGGGAGGAGGAGGAGAAAAAAAGGAAAGAGGAAGGAGGAGGGGTATGAGACTGGATACCCTCATCACCTTCTGGTCGCCCGTGCCCTTCCTTCTCCCCCATCCACCCCTGCCCTCCTTTTTCTCGCCAGTCTCCCCCCCCTTCCTTCCGCCCAGCAGCGCCGCGCCCCGACGGACGACGACGACGACGACGACGACGACGACGACGACGACGACGACGACGACGACGACGACGACGACGACGACGACGACGACGACGACGACGACGACGACGACGACGACGACGACGACGACGACGACGACGACGACGACGACGACGACGACGACGACGACGACGACGACGACGACGACGACGACGACGACGACGACGACGACGACGACGACGACGACCGACGACGTCGACGATCGATGACCGACGACGGCGACGACCGACGACGACGACGACGATGACGACCGGTGGCGGCGGCGGCGGCGGCGGCGGCGGTTGCGGCGGCGACGACGACGGCGACGGCGGCGGCTGCGGCGACGACGACGACGACGACGGCGCTCGAGCGACGACGACCGACGACGACCGACGACGTCGACGACCGATGACCGACGACCGACGACCGACGACCGACGACGACGCTCGATGACGACGACGACGACGATGACGATCCGTGCTTCTCCGCCCTGTGCTCTCTCCTCCGCGTCCTCCTGCCTCTCCCGCTGCTGTACCTCCTCCTCTTGCCTCATCCTCCCGCTCCTTCGGCCCCTCTCGCTCCTCCTACTGCTGTCGCTGCTCCTCCTGCTCCCCCTCCTTCCCGTCCTCCCGCTCCTCGCTCGTCGTCTCCCGCTGCCATCCCCCCCTACAGGTGCGCGGGGCCCTGAGGAGGGCGATGTGCGCGGGCATCGAGAAGGACACGCCGCAGGCGCGGGCGTCGACAGCGCCCCCGCCCTGCATCCACGCTTTCCCGTCCGCCCCTCCCTCGCCCCTTCCCCGCCCCGTCCTTCTCTCCTCCCTCCTGCTCCCTCCCTCCCCTCCGCTCCCCGCCCCCCTCCCTCCGCCCCCCTCCTTCCGCTCATTCCCGCGATCCCTCTCTTGCTCCCTCCCTCCCTCGCTCACTTCCTCTCTTCGTCCGTCGCTCACTCCCCTCCTTGTCCTCCTCCTCCCCTCCTCTTCCCTCTTCCCAGGCCTGGCCCTGGAGACCTCCTCGTGTCCGGGGTGGCAGAGTGGTGTGGCCCACGTCGTGCCCCAGCGCCAGGCAGTCTTCCTGCCTCGGTCCCTGCACTCGGGGCCAGGATCCCAGCCTCGGCGGCGCGCAGCTGCAATGCCCGTCTCGAGTCAAACCGGGCAAAAGAAACGTCCTCTCCCTTCCCAGTTGCTCCAGCACCAGCACCACCAACTGGCCACGAACACACCCACCCAGCGACGCACCAACTCACGACAACACTGATTGCAAGGATCCTCCCTTCTCCTATAGATGTCTCGAGTGCATGTCTAAGCATACGCCGCAGTATTTGGAGACTACGGACTCGCTCACCTGGTCTCAAGTACAGTGGGGGCGCGCATCAAGAAACCGTCCGCTTCTCGCCAGGGTACCCTGGGTTTCTTCGCTCCGCGCGCCGCGCGGTGACTTCCCGTGGCCGTTGCAAAAGCTGCTGCGCTCAGGGTGCTGCGGGCTTCCCCTCGGGTGCACCTCGCGCGCGGGTTTTCAGGGTTGGGCTTCTTGCGAGGGCTTCTTGCGGCCGCGCCCGCACTGTAGGCCCGGACACCTCTCCGCGCCGGTGGGCGTCGGCTCCTTCGTTCCCGTGCCCGTGCTCCCTTCGCCGCCCCCGGCGATGGTGCTGCTGCTCGTCCTCATCGTGCCGGGGCACGCGCTGCCGCGGGGCCGGCGCGGCTCTTTCTCTCTCCTCGAGGGACGCGCCAGGCCAGACCAGGGCTGGAGCTGAACGGTGTGTTTTGGCAATGCCGTGGGCCGTTTTTTCGTTTCGGCTTCGCTTTGCGGCTGTAGAGGTGGACCGAAGACAAAACGAGGGAGAACGATTACCTCAAGGCGCTTTCCATCAGTTCCCTCGCGGTCTACGCCTCCATCGCCAAGTATTTCGTCATCGTCGCACCACCGTGCTTGCATCATGACAAGCTAGTGGAGTGCAATTCGGCGACCTATCAGAGGCGTGGTTGGTGCCGCTTGGAGCAGTGGGCACGCATGACGGTCGGAGGACTCCGTGACATGTACATTTATGAGGGTGGCAATTTAGAGCAACTCCTGGACCGGCCTCATTGGTACGAAGCAAGCGTTAAGGTATTCGAAGGGGACTTCACAGTGGAAGCGGATAAATACAACATCGTCGACCCTGTCATGGGTTTGTGGTACATCGCTCTGCTGAATGCAGACAGGCAGAATATTGATAGTCTTTTGATAGATCTAGTGAATCAGAACAAGGAGAGCGTCTTCCCAGCTGCATACTTTGAGGACTACATCGGAAAGTTAGAGGCACTGGTTGAACAAGAGAAGGGTTCGTCACAGCCACGCGATCACTCAGTTCTCATACAGTCGGTCAGTAGTTCTGCTGCTCTGTGCGAGGTCGTTGGCGCCCGCGAAGACCACAGGTGCAGTAACCCCTCAAAGAGAATCATCAGCGACGACAGTCCCCGCCAGGTGGAGATCTGACCGCCCGCGAGAGCAGGTGCGTGCTGTGTGGGTCCCGGAAGAAAAAGCGGCATAAACATAAACTCTTGGAGGTTCAAGCGTGCTTTTCTAATTTTCTGATCCGCCGAGGATGCAACAGACACTTTAACTTGGGCTTCGGTCCCCCTCTCCTTCCTTTTAATCACGTATTAGCTGCGCGAGCCGAGTGCCGATCACGCTCGTATGGATTTTCTTTAGCTTTTTGGTCTCGGGCCCGTCCGCTTCAAAACGTTGTGGTCGCGGCTTTTCTATTTCTAGCGGGTCCAGGTGCCTTTGCACAGGATTGTTGTGGGGGTACTCTCGTTGGTACGGTATCTGGCTGGAAAGCCCGTATCGCAATGAAGTCACGAAGTGCCCAAGCCAGGTTTCAGCAGCGCTTGAGCTTTTTGGTCTCGGGCCCGTCCGCTTCAAAACGTTGTGGTCGCGGCTTTTCTATTTCTAGCGGGTCCAGGTGCCTTTGCACAGGATTGTTGTGGGGGTACTCTCGTTGGTACGGTATCTGGCTGGAAAGCCCGTATCGCAATGAAGTCACGAAGTGCCCAAGCCAGGTTTCAGCAGCGAAAAAAAAAAAAAAAAAAAAAAAAAAAAAAAAAAAAAAACGAGGGAGAACGAAAAACCAAACGAAGACGAACAGCACCGTTTAGGTTCAGCCCTGGCCCAGACGGTGTTCAGTGCCCATGCTGTAGGCGCAAAGGCGGCCCTTCCAGGCCCAAGCGCTCGCCCTAGCAGACTGCACGTGCTGCGTGGCCTGCGCGGTCGAGGCACTTCACCTTTTGGCCGTCACACCGACTTGAGCTGGTCCCGCGCGGCCCTCAGCCGCGCAGTATTCGTAGGAAGGAGAGGATGGAGGGAGAAGAGAGGCGGGAGGGACCCCCCCACCTCTTCTCGCCGTGCAAAAGAGCACATCACGTCGGACGGGTGTTGGCAGTTTTCAGGGCTCTGGACCTCCGGGCGCCCATGCTGTGGGCCAAACACGACGTCGGGCACTTCGAGAGCAGGGTGATGGAGGGATGTGAGGGAGGGATGAGGGAGGGGGGCAGGAGGGACGGCGACGCTCTGTCTTGCCTGCGTGTGTGTGTGTGTGTGTGTGTGTGTGTGTGTGTGTGTGCTGTGTGTGCTGTGTGCTTTGTGGGATTCGATGCTTTCAGCTTCTCGTCGGCATCACCCGCATACCCTCGCACTGTGTGTGCGTCGCCCCCCCAGGGGCAGCCCGCCCGCTCAGAGACTGCACAGCATAGGCTCGGGGGCGGGCGCTTCGTGGACACACTGCCTGGGCAGCGATGTGCTACAATATGCTCGTACTATTGCTCGATTCGTGCGCGTACCTCCAAGAGGGGCGCATAGTACTGGTATGTCCTTCCGCGTTCCGTCTCTTACCCTCCTCCCCTCGTCTCTCCCTGTGTCCCGAGCAGGCCCCGCTGGCAGGAAAAACAAGCACTACACTCTCTTGGCGCACGCCGGGGCCTTACTACAATGCTCTAGCGCGGTCGTTCTGCTCGTAGACGTGCGCGTCTTGCCTCTTCCACAGCTCACAGGTCTGTCTGGATGACTTGATGCGTACATCTTTTCCCTGCAGGTCTGTTGCGCTGACAACAAATCTCTTTCCCCCTTCGAGCTTGCTCCCGGGGCTCTCTTGGTGCTCGCGACCTCCCTCGGCTTCGGATGCCTCCACTCTAGGCGATGCTTAAGAAAACCCAAGTTTTCGGCCAGAGTCTCGATTCTTCTTAATGTTTCAATGTAAATCCTAACATTTGAATAGACATTCTTTCAGAGCCCCGAATCATCAGGGGTAACTCGGGTCAGGGATAACTCGGGTTCGCTTTTCGGGAATCCAAACCCGAGTTATCCCGGACCCGAGTTACCCCGGATGAATCGGGCGTCCAAGAGCCCCGAATCATCAGGGGTAACTCGGGTCAGGGATAACTCGGGTTCCTTTTTCGGGAATCCAAACCCGAGTTACCCCGGACCCGAGTTATCCCGGATAACTCGGGCGCCCAATTCTTGGTTTTATTTCAAATTCTGAGACTATGAATTTCTTGACCCATGATTCCTAAAGCATCTCGCAGGGTGCCCCGCCTCCGGCTGGCCGATCCTGGGCGCCAGCGCGTCGACACCGCTGCTGCTCGGTGGAGCCCTGTCTCCGGCGCCGCGCACAGGGCGGGGCCCTCCTCCTCCTCCTCCTCCTCCTCCTCCTCCCTCCTCCTCCTCCTCCTCCTCCTCCTCCCTCCTCCTCCTCCTCTTCTCCTCCTACTCCCCTCGCCATCCCGCAGGAGGAGGAGGGGGAGGATCACCAGTGTAAGCCCAAGGGTCATCAACGATGTTGGAGTACACCCTCCCTCCCCTCCAAGTTCCCTCTTCATGGGCACCTACAAGGGTTCATCTCCACTGAGGGAATTGCCTCGTCGAAGTCAACCGTCTGAAGACCCTGAAGCATGCCAAACCATCTTTCTGGGGACTCCAGCCCCCGCGAATTCACCTGACTGTTGCATCTTGGCGATCCTGAATCGTGCCAGAACGCCCTTCTTGGGACTTCAACACCGCGAATCAACATAATTGTTGCACCCTCATAGTCCAAAATCTTTCCTGCACGCCGTTCCTGGTACATTGACCATGGACACCCGTGAAACTCTTGCATTGTTTAAGAAGGATTGTGCACATTTTGAAAACAAGCCGCCCTCAATACATGATATTCTGGTATTTTTAACGACTGTGCCGGGCGCTGAGGCGATAACCACATTTTGGAAACGAGCCGCCCTCAATCCGTGAAACTGTTGCTTTTTTACAAACGAATGTGCGCGGCGCTCAGGCGAGACGCGCACTCCATCTGTGAAGCTGTTGCTGGTTTTCAAGCCTCAGGGTCATCAATGGTGAGGAAGTCTCAGGCGAAACGCCCGGCCCGCCCTTTCGACTGGCCCAGGGGTGCGACAGTGAGAAGGTGATTCTAAGCAAAAGGAATGGAGGAGGAGCAGGAGCAGGAGCAGGAGCAGGAGCAGGAGCCGAGGAGGGAGGGATGAGGAGGAGGAGGAGGAGGGAGGAAGGGAGGGAAGGAGGGAGGGAGGGAGGGGGAGGGAGGGAGGGAGGGAGGGAGGGGGAGGAGGAGGAGGAGGAGGAGGAGGAGGAGGAGGAGGAGGAGGAGGAGGAGGAGGAGGAGGGAGGAGGAGGAGGAGGAGCCGCACCTGCTCCTCCAGCGCCTGCTCCTCCCGCACCTGCTCCTCCCGCACCTGCTTCTCTCGCTCCTCCTGCTCCTTGTCCTGCTTCTCCTGCTCCTGCATGCTCCTCCACGCTACGCCCTGAGCAACGAGTCTCAGGAGTCCCTCCTCTCCTGTCCTTCCTTTTCGGCGCGCCCGGACGTGCAGGTGTGCCTCCTCCTCCTCCTCCTCCTCCTCCTCCCATCCTCCTCCTCCTCCTCCTCCTCCTCCTCCTCCTCCCATCTCCTCCTCCTGCTCCTGCTCCCGGTCCTGCTCCCCCTGCCCTCTGCGGCTCCCGGCCCTGCTCCGCAGCCGTCCTGGCCCAGGCCGCTCCCCCCGATATGCCCCTCGGGCCGCGCCGCGCCGCGGCCGCGGTCGCCGCCTGCCTGGCGCTGCCGGCGCTGCGCCCCCGCAGCCTGCCGGGGGGGAGCCTGGCAGCCGCCGCGGGCCATACATGGGGGGGCGGCGAGCGTGGTCCGAAAAGGCACCCAAACGGTACCGAAACGAGCCCCCTGGGGCTCCGGAGGGGCCCGAAAGGGGCACGAAAGGGGGCCTTTTCTGGCCCCCCCCCCATTTGTGACCCCCCCATTAAGCCACGCCCAAGCCGCCCGGGGGCGCCGGGCGGCCTGCGCCGGGCGCGCGGCCGGTCGCTGCGACCGAGCAGCGGCGTCCTGGGCGGAGCGCGCGGCGCGTCGGCGCGGAGAGGAGGTCAGCCACGGCGACGGCGGCGGCGACGACGGCGACGACGGCGACGGCGGACGATCTCAGAAGGCGACCTCGACGGGGAGGGGGGAAGGCGTCCTGCTGCTTAGAAGGCGTGGGCCTCTCTCTCTCATATATATATATATATATATATATGTATATATATACATATATATATATGTATATATGTAGATGTGTATATATATATATATACGCGCCTTCTAAGAGGCAGCCTCCTTGTAGTCAGCCTTTCCCCCTCCCCCTGTCCCCTTGTGCGCGCCGCCGAGAAGGGGTACGAAGACCGGTAGCTCGAGCATCGGTGTCCTGGGCGGGGGGTACATGTAAATCGGCCAGCGGGGCCCATGTCATGCCGTCAGGGATAGGGGTCGGATGAACGGTGCTCATCTAGGCCTCCTAGATGGGGTCGGAGTCGATGGGGTCGGAGGATCGCGCCGCATCGCCGATGCAGCGGCGATGCGCCTCCGGCGCCCCCCTGGCGGCGCCTCCGGCGCCGCACCTGGCGCCCTCCGCGCGCCAGGCAGAAGGGTCCCAGCGCCGATCCAAGACATCCGCGCGGACCTCAGAGAGTTTATGTAGCCCCCCGCCCTCAGTTGCGGATGCGAGTGAGGGGGCGGGCCGCGGGGAGGGTCGCAGGTGGGTCGAGGGGTGGGTCGCAGGGTGGGTCGCGGGAGGGTCGCAGGGGGTCGCGGGCGAGGACTACGACAACAACAACAGCAGCAACAACAACAACAGCAACCGATCACAACAACAACAACAGCAGCAGCAGCAACAACAACAAGAACAGCAGCAGCAACAACAACAGCAGCAGCAGCAACAACAACAACATCAGCAACAACTACAGCAACAACAACACAACAACACAACAACAACAACACCAACAACAACAGCATCACAAACAACAGCAGCAGCAGACAGCAGACCACAAGAGTCTGGGCCTCGGAGTCCCACTGCAGCCGCGCCCCCACAGACAGACGGGCGACTGCTTGTCCCCTCGCTCTGACGAAGACCGGCAGCAGCTCCTGTCCGTTCGGAGCACGACTCGCTATCGGCCTCGCTGCGGGCACTGTCCATTCGAGACAGGGCCGCCTGCCCAGCAGCGGCCGCTGTCGTTTTTTTCCACAGCATTTGTCGTTTGGCATCGTACCCATTCTTTCCGTAAGGTAGGTTAGCGTCGTGTCGACCAGTGGCGACCCCGCCGTTGGCGTTCAGTGTTGGACACCGCCGCTGATTCAGAATTGGTCGATGTTGACCGATCTGACGTTTCGGAAACGGCCGATCTTTCAAGGTTGAGCGATCCCCGCGTTGTCAGGAGCCAACGCTGGGGTCGGCACGACACAGAACGCGCGGCACGAAGACCGACAGCAGTTCTTGTCCATTTTGAAGAGGACTCGTTGTCGGCGCCGCCGCGGCCGTTGTCCATTCGAGACAGGGCCGCCTGCCCAACAGCGGCCGCTGTCGGTGTTGGACAACACTTGCTGTTTGGCATGAGGAGGAGGAGAAGGAGGAGGAGGAGGCGGAGGAGGAGGAGGAGGAGGAGGAGGAGCAGGACACGCTAGGTGTGCTCGCGTCATATCTGACGTCCTACCCCTCCCTCCCATCCCTTACCATGGCGTGGATCTCCCCTCTATTCGCATAGTCGGATGCCGGAACATGGCATAGCATTACATGGCACAGCATGGTCTTGAAGATCAACGCGTAGCATGACATAGCATGACGCGGCGTCGCCCCAAATGGGGGGGTTCTGCGGCCCCCCAAATCGAGGAATCGACGCCGAATGTGTAATCACTTCCGATGGTTTTTTCGGGAGGCCATTCTCTAAATTTTGGGGCCTATTTGGAAGGACCTAAAACCATGCCGTGGCATGGCGCTGGAATTAATGACGCCAGCGCTGCAGCGGGAGCACGACGATTCGGAATGAGCGGAAGCGCGGAAATGAGGCCAGCGCTGAAGCGGGAGCACGATTCGGAACGAGCGGTAGCCCGAAAATGAGGCCAGCGCTCCAGCGAGAACAGCATTTTTGAACAAATCCCAAGCGCGAAAACCCAACTCCCGGGGATCCTGTGTAAAAATAACCAGTGCGCGGCGGGGGGCCGAGTACATCCCGGACGCCACCAGGGGAGAGAGGAGAGTAGTGTTCATATTGTGCAAGTGTGGAGGAGGAGGAGGAGGAGGAGGAGGAGGAGGAGGAGGAGGAGGAGGAGGAGGAGGAGGTACCCCTTTCTCTCCGCACCCACGCCGGGCCTCCCAGGCGGGGCGGCGGCCGCCCCCTCCGGAGCCCGTGTCCGGCGGCCCGCGAGAGGGGCCCTTCGCCAGAGCGGCCCCGCAGAAGTTCGAGCCTTCGCCCGGCGGCTTTCGGTTCTCGGCTGTCGGGAGCCTCGAGACGGGGGTCAATGCAAACGGGGGTCAGCCAGAGCGCGGGATCTTGCAGGATCCTGCAGGGCCAGGCTCCCATTGACCCGGGTCTGGGTGCAGGATCCTGCAGGATCCTGCAGGATCCTTCGCATTGACCCGGGTTTGGGTGCAGGATCTTGCAGGATTTTGCAGGCCTGATTGACCCGGGCTTGGATTGACCCGGGTCAGAAGATCCCCGAGGCTGTCGCCTCTTGGCGGCTCTCCAGCCTCAGGAGGCCTCTCAAGAGCGGCCGCGCCTCGCCGAGCTCGTGCCGGGGGCGCCGGGTCAGGAGGGGAAGAAAGACACAGACACAATTCATCGTCGACCCCCCAGAAAATATAGGAACATATGGGAATTGGGCGGGAAGACAAAAACCCAGAAAATATAGGAAAATATGGGGCATAGTGTATTTATTCGTGTGTCCTGGGGCCCCTTCACCAGGACCGTCCCGAGCGGCCGCGGCGAGAGCTCGAGGCAGGGCCCGAAGGCCGCGCGGCCCCTCGCCGGAGCGACCTCTGCTCTGGTGCCTGGACTTCCGCAGGGGCGCGGGAGGACGTGCCCGAGCACGCAGGCCGCCACCGCGGGTTGCGAAGTAGGCGACCGCGTCGGGTCCAGCTGGCAAGACTCCTCCTCCTCCTCCTCCTCCTCCTCCTCCTCCCCCTCCTCCGCCTCCTGCTCCTCCTCCTCCTCCTCCTCCCCCTCCTCGGGTCGCCTGCGGCCCCGGGGGAAACCGTGCAGTTTTGGGTCCAGGTGGCAAGACCTGCTTTTTCGGCCCTCGGAGCCGACGAAGCTGCGCGAGGTGCCGCGCTGGAGCGGGGCCCGGGAGGAGTCCAGACAGGTTCATGGGATCGTTTTTTATGCACTGTTCTGCCGATCGGCGCGGGCCCTCGCACCCCGCCCTCCTCCCCCATGGGGCAGATCTTGGCTGTTTTTGGGCGCCTGTTCCGAGCAGGTGCAGCCTCCCCCATAACGGACGCACTGTTGCAAGCAGTCGCACTGAGCAGAGGTCCAGAGCGAGACCCCACCTCCCCCCCCCTTCTGCCCATTGCCGAAGCGCCGATTAGGAGAACGCTCACCATGGGCACCGTTCTCAGAAGGGCCACTTTCGCGCGCAGCTGACCCGTGATCACTCCTGACCTGGACGCGGCGAGGGCCCAGCTGGCGCTCCGCCCCGCGCTGCGGCGGAAGCTCGTGGCGCACCGAGGCTGGCACCGCGACCGCGGCGCGGCCGCCGGCCGCCCTTTGGAGAACACGCGCCAGGCGTACATAGTAGGAGGAGGAGGAGGAGGAGGAGGAGGAGGAGGAGGAGGAGGAGGAGGAGGAGGAGGAGGAGGAGGAGGAGGAGGAGGAGGAGGAGGAGGAGGAGGAGGAGGAGGAGGAGGAGGGAGGAGGAGGAGGAGGAGGAGGAGGAGGGGAGGGGGAGGGGGAGGGGAGGGGGAGGAGGAGGAGGAGGAGGAGGAGGAGGAGGAGGAGGAGGAGGTATGGTGTGTCAGTGGCCTACAGCCAGTCTTTGAGTTCGCGCCTCCTCGCTGTCGGAGGCCTCGGAATGATCCTCGGCATCGGATTCGGCCGCTTCCCGTGCCAGACGCCTACCGAGGTCCTGCACCGACGTTCCAGCGCGCCAGAGCAGGCCTGCAGGCGGCCCGCGGACAGCCCGAGCCCCCGAGAAGCCCCAGCAGGGCCGCTGTCGCCCTGGTCCAGCGTGCTGGTGATGCTCTCTTAGCGGAAGTCTGATCTCCCCAGTGACAAACCAAGACGCGTAGACGATAACCGCCTGATAACCTTCCTGGGTTCAGCGCCGCGGGTCAACGTGACTGTTGCTTCCTGGCAATCCTAAAGTGTGCCAGGACACAGTCTGTAAGATTTTGACCACATTGATGCGAATGTGCGCGGTGCCAGGGCGAGAGCCTCATTTTGAAAATGATTCGCCCTCCATCCGTGAAACTGTCCCAAGCAATTACGACGAGCGAAAAGGAACCACCCTAAGTCCTTGAAGCGGTTGTACTCTTGTAAGACGATTGTAGGCGGTGCCGATGCGAGGGCCACATTTTTGGCGGTGCCAAGGCGAAAGCCACATCTTGAAATGGAGCCGCCCTCCATCCGTGAAACTGTTGCAATCTTGTAAGGCGAATGTGGTCGGTGCCACGGCGAGAGCCACATTTTGAAAACGACCCGCCCTCCATCCGTGAAGCTGTTGCATTTTTTTGAGACGGATGTGCACGGCGCTGAGGCGAGAGCCACATATTGAGAACTAACCGCACTCCATCCGTTACACTGCTGCGAACTCATAGTGCGAGTGTGCGTGGCGCTAAGGCGAGAACCACATTCTGGAAACGGCCCGCCTTCCATCCGTGAGACGGTTGCAAACTTTAGGACGGATGTGCGCAGCGATGAGGCGAGAGCCACATTTTGAAGACGACCTGCCCTCCATCCGTGAAGCTGTTGCAAACTTCGAAGACGAGTGTGCGCGGCGCCCAGGCGAGAGCCACATGTCTCAAACGGCCCGCCCTCCAGCCGCGAAGCCGTTGCAACCTTGTGACATGGATGTGCGCAGCGCCAAGGCGGGAGCGGCATCTTGACAGGGCGCCGCCATCGTTCCGTGAAACTGTTGCAGTATTTTAAGACGAGTGTGCGCGGCGCTCAGGCGAGAACCACATTCTAAGACGAGTGTGCGCGGCGCTCAGGCGAGAACCACATTTTGAAAACGGCCCGCTCTCCATCCGGTAAGCTGTTGCGCAAACTTTCATGCTTTCGGCTCGCACACGACGAGGAAGCCTTAGGGCAGACGCCAGGGCTTTGCCTACCGACATGTCCCCGGGTGCGACAGGGAGGCGTTTCTCACAAGGAGGAGGGATGGAGGAGGAGGGGGGATAGAGGAGAAGGAGGCGGAGGAGGATGAGGAGGAGGAGGAGGAGGAGGAGGCCGATGAGGCGGAGGAGGATTCCAGCGATTCCAGCAAACAGGGGAGAACGAGCGCAAGCTCGGCCTGGCAGCAGACAGTTCTGGGGTTGGGAAGGTCATGCCGTATTTCGGGGGCTAACCTTCCGACAGTCTGTCGAGGTCGCGGCTGCCAGTCGCAGACGGCTCGGGAAGGCAAGGTTGGGTCAGTCGGGTCAGCTTCTGTGCATGGCTGACCGCAGACTTCGCACACTCTCGACGAAAACAACTCGCATTCGAATTCAGCCAGACAGTGCGCTGAATGCCGTCGACCAAAACATGGATGCTCGCTCGGATTCTCCAGGTTCGGGCCCGCAGCCGACGAGGAGCCCAACCCAGCCGCCTCAGAGGACCCAGGCACGAGCGGCCGAGGGCACCGAAGAGGCCAGAAACTGGCAAGCTCTCCTTAGACATCGCCTCCTCCTCCTCCTCGTCCTCCTCATCCTCCCCCTCCTCTCCTCCTAACCCCTCCTCCTCCTCCTCCTCCTCCTCCTGTGACGGCGGGCGGCCTGCACAAACAGCGAGCACACTTAAACACACCACCAACTTTTGGAGGCAGAGTGGCCCTGTTCGGTAAGCCTCTGCTTACGGTCATTCATTGAGCCGTGCCTTTTCTTACTGCGGTGCTCTCTGCCGGAACGAGCCTCGCGGGTCCTCGGGCACGTAGGGAAGACATGTTGAGAGATTGCAAGGAGCTCTTCACCACCGAAGGACAGTCCTCATTTACATGCAGAATCGCACGATTTTCTCCGACGGGAGGAGAAGGAAGAGGAGGAGGAGGAGGAGGAGGAGGAGGAGGAGGAGGAGGAGGAGGAGGAGGAGGAGGAGGAGGAGGAGGAGGAGGAGGAGGAGGAGGAGGAGGAGGAGGAGGAGGAGGAGGAGGAGGAGGAGGAGGAGGAGGAGGAGGAGGAGGAGGAGGAGGAGGAGGAGGAGGAGGGGAGGAGGGGAGGAGGAGGAGGAGGAGGAGGAGGAGGAGGAGGAGGAGGGGGGGGAGGAGGAGGAGGAGGAGGAGGAGGAGGAGGAGGAGGAGGAGGAGGAGGAGGAGGAAGAGGAGGAGGAGGAGGAGGAGGCGGAGGAGGGTGAGGCGGAGGAGGAGGTCACGCGCCAGGCGTACGTGGACGCTGCCGCCGTAGGCGTCGCCTACGCAGAGTGCGACGTGTGGGCGACCCGGGACGGGCAGAGGAGGAAGACGGTACCGATATCGCTACCATTATTTCGTTTTGCCTTTTTCGGCCTCCTGGGGTTCCCTGCCCTCGTCGCTGCGTCTTGATTCGCCTCGAAGCTGTAGTCAGAACGCGCCTGGGAGAGGCTTGGGCAGCAGCGGTATAGGTATCTTTCGGTTTCCTCAGGACGGGCAGCTGGTGCTGAGCTCGGAGGAGAAGAACTGGCATGAGCATAAACCTCCGCGGAGTTTCGCGCGAAGCTCTTGGGCCTGCGCTGGGATCCCCCGGCGGCGCCTCCGGCGCCGCCCCTGGCGCGCTCCGCGCGTCATGGAGGGGGGCTCGGGCTCCAGCGCCGACCCGAGACACCCGCACAGATCTTCAAGCCAGCTTATGCCCGTGACTCTTTTCGCCCCTCTGTGAACCACGACTTCAGCTTCCGGGCCGTTGCCGAGGACCCGTGCCAGGATCGGGGGGACCCCCAAGCGGTGTGGTGACCACACCTTGTGGTGAGGCGTGAGCCAGTGGGGACTCGGGGTCACCGCACGGTTTTGGGACCCGTGGCGTTCTCCCAGGATGCCTCGGGCGCCTGGGGCCTCCAGGGTCCCCCGAACCGTGCGGTGACGGAGAGGCGGCCACCGCGCGGTCTGTTACCACGCGGCTTTTGAAGCCTCCTGCAGGACCTGGCCACCAGGCCGATCGCGGAGCTGCGCTGGGCGGAGCTGGAGCGCCTGCGGCTGGCCGCGGGCTGCGCGCCGGTGTTGCTCCCGACTGTGCTGCGGGACCTGCTGCCTACGGGCACGCGCCTGGCGATCGAGCTCAAGAGCTCTGGCTGCGCGCTGCCGCTGGCGGCGTGCCTGGCCGAGCGGCCCTCGCGGGGGGAAGACATATCCTCATCCGCGGCCTCGCGGGCCGGGCCCTCGGGCCGTGACCCTCTGACCATGGGGCGTTTTGTTCGCAGACGCCCCGCGCGGAAGGCATCCGAGCGACCGCATATCCGCGGCGTTCGCGCTCAGGCCGCGAGGGCGTGGCTGCGGGTGCGTTGCCCGCTCGTGAGGCCCGAGCTGTCGGCGGCGGTGGGCTTCGTGCTGAGCTTCTCGCTGGAGGCCCTCGAGGTCGCGGCCGCGGCACTCGGGCCGGCCTCGGGTACTCGCTTGGTCTGGATCGTGAACAACCCCCGGGTGCCCTACGGCGAGGGCGGCCTGGACGAGGGGGAGACTTGGGGAGGCATCGTCAGGGGGTGGATAGCCAGACGAGGAAAAGGTAACGATACCGCCACCCCTGCCTCGATTTCGCCGTTTTGGGTCTCCCGGGAGGCCCTCGTCGCCACGGCTGGATTCCCCTCGAGATTCTGACCAGAACGCACCTCGGGAGAGGTCTGGGGAGTAGCGGCATCGGTACGTTTTGGTTTCCGCAGATGGGCTCGTGGGGTTCGAGGGTCCAAGGTCGAGTTTTTTTTGGGGCGGTTTCGTCGATCCTCGGCGGCCTTCAAGGCTCGAGGTGCCTTGCAGCGGCTGCGCCTCGCCGACAGCCTTCGGTGGACACTAAAGCAAGGGGCGACGTTGGGGGTGGGATGGACTCAGGGTGGATGCATTGGCCCCCCAACCGCCTCACTATGCCCCGCCCCTCCCCGGGGTGTGCGGTTCCCGCCATCGGGGGCCTATCCCCGATCCATCGGCCAGCTGTCGTCGATTCCGGCTCGAGGCTTCCCCCCTGAGCTCTGAACCGGCCCCTCCCTGCTTGGCGTCCCTCCTCAGGAGACCACCTTCGACTACTCCGCCGAGTCTCTGCCCGACTTCCTCGAGAGGAGGGGGCTCACCGACCGCGTGAGGGGCCTTGGCTGCGGCCTCTACCTGCAGTACAACCCCGCGGTGACGGCCCAGGCCCTCTTCGAGCTGCGCGCCGCGCTGCGCGGCCTCAGCGGCCCCGGCGGCCTGCTCGGCCTCTGGAGCGACCGCTCGCTGGACCCGGGCGTGGACTCGGCGGAGGCACTGTCCTCGCTCCTGCCCGCGCTCGACCTGGCGAACTCCGACCTGCCAGGGGCCTTCTTCGGCGCCGTCGGCGCGCCTCGGCCGATCGAGGTGAGCCGAGGAGGCAACCGATCGGGTGGTGCCAGCATCGGAGGGGGCAGTGGTGGGGACAGTGGGGACAGCGGTGGGAACAGTGGGAAAGCTCAGCGGGACAGCGGAGGAGACAGTGGGACAGTGGGGACAGTGGGGATAGTCGGGCAGTGGTTGGGGCCGTGGAGAAAGTGGGGGGAGTGGAACCGTGGTGGGAAAAGTGGTGGGGACAGCGGGGACAGTGCGACAGTGGAGGGGGCACTGGTGGGGACAGTAGGGACGGTGGTGGAACCAGTGGGGACAGAGGTGGTGAGGACGGTGGTGCTGGGAACAGCAGTGGGGGATGTGGTGCGGACGGTTGTGGGGACCGGGAGTCGTTTGATGGCGGTGAGGGGTGGGGGGAGGGGTTTCGAACCGGTAGTGACCCCCCCCCCCGGGTTTTCGAGGAGGGGGGGGGGTCGAACCGGTAGTGACCCCCACGGTTTTCGAGGGGGGAGGGGGGGGGGTTCGAACTGGTAGTGACTCCCTCGGTTTTCGAGGTTGGGGGGGGGGGGGGGTTCGAACCGATAGTGGACCCGCCCCCGGTTTTCGGGGGGGGGTGGGGGGATTCGAACCGGTAGGACCTTCCTTTGGGTTCTGCGGGGGGGTGGGGTTGGGGGTTCGAAGCGGTAGTGACCCCCCTGTTTTCGAGGGGGGGGGATCGAACAGGTAGTGACCCCCCCGGTTTTCTGGAGGGGAGGGGGGGGTGTTAGGGGAGGGGGGGGGTTTTGCCGGGGGAAGGGGGGGGGGAGGGGGGTTTCCAGCAGGGGGGGGGAGATTTTCGGAGGGGGGGGGGGACCCCCGGGTTCCGGAGGAAGAGGGCGGGGACTTTTCCACAGTAAAACGGCGGTGGATCACGCTCTCTCGCGCCTCGGGATGCTCTCAAGCAGCTGCGTCTCGAGGGAGGCGATCTGCCCAGGGGTGCCAGGATCGTCCCGGACGGCCGCCAGAGGCCCGAGGCACGACTCGAAAACCCCCCCCCCCCCCCCCCCCACACACACCCACTTCTTCTCGCGTGGGCAAATCACGACGGGAGGTTTTCGGCTACTCTTGGCTTCTGGGGGCCCTTGCCAGGCCCCAGGACCGTCAAAAAGCGGTCCTGGACGAAGCGGAGGTTTTCGGCTACTTTGGGATTCCGGGGGCCCTTGCCAGGCCCCAAGACCGTCAACAAGCGGCCCTGGGCGAAGAACCAGTCCCGGGGAAGGGGTTCTAGATCTCTGGGGGTCGACGCTGTGGAAACATCACGGCCTCGGAGTTCTGGGCCTATCCCCCTCCAGCTTCGGGGAGGGCCTCCGGGCTGAACTTGGTGTGTTCAGGGTCTCCTCCCTTTGGGGCCCAGTGCCTCAGGACTCCATCTTTGAAGCGCTGGTCGGCTCTTCCCCTGGCCTGTCTTGCCACCATCCTGGTTCGGGTGGGCGCTCTGACCGTCAATGTTTTCTTCCAACCAGGGTAAACGTTGGTGCAGGGAGTTGTTTTTTCTTTTTTCGAACGCGGGGTAGATTGTCTCGAAGAGGCGCAAGACCGTCGCAGCTAGAAGGCAGCGGAACCTGCTTCTCTGGAGCGTTGGAAGCTATTTTCCGAATCATCTTGTGGTGATGGGTCTTCATTTTGAAGAGACAGCGCCCGCGTCCTCCTCCCGCATCCTCCCTCCTTCCATCCCTGCCCATGCCCTCCGCACCCAGTACAGCGTTTCGTGGCCTCATACTGAGCTCCACCGAAGTCCTCAGTGGCGGTGTTCGATTGAGTCTCCTCTACCCAGTATACAGTTTTTCATGGCCCCATAGGGTGCTCCATTGGAGGCCCGGGTGTTCGCATGCATTTCCCCCACCCACCGCAGCGTGTCGTGGTCCCATAGGGAGCTCCACCGAAGGCCTCAGTGGCGGTGCTCGCATGCGTCTCCCCCGCCCACTATAGCTTTTCGTGGCCCCAAGGGGAGCTCGACCGAAGACCCCTGATGCGCGCTGCCTATGAGAGAGCGCGCTGCCTACGAGAAAAGAGGCTGTATCGCGTGCGCCACGCGGAATTAGCGTGCCCCCTTCTTTCGTCTCATCTCCCCCGCGGTACTCGCAGCTGCATATGGTTGGTTTCCTCTTCAGGCGGATGTTTATGTCCAGCGATTACCTGGGTGATCGGGCTCGCCCCCCCTCTTGCCTGGATAACCTCACCCGCTCGGTTGAGCAGGTCCGGAGGGGGTGGGGGGCCCAGGTAGCTCTTTGGGATATATCGTGAGGCGTATGTTCTGGATTTTTGAGCGGTCAGCCCATACCGGCGCCCCGGTGCCCTCCCGCAGCACCCTCGTAGGTGCCTCGACGCGGGTTCTGTCTGTCTGTATGTCTCTGTCTGTCAGTATCCTTCTAGACAATGTTAGTTTTCCACACATCCTCAGGCATTCATTCCCCTTCCTTAGGCATTCCCGATGTTACCTCATTAGAGCATATCTCTCAATGCTAGCTGTCCAGACATATTCTTGGGCATTCCCAGACGGCGCCCGCGTCGTCGCAGCACGAATAGTAGCATCGCCGTGGCATCGTTAGCAGCTGTAGGGGCCGCAGCATTGGTGCGCGCGGGCATCTGCGTGGCTGCCCACAGCGCGAAGGTTCGGTTATCGGCCAGCCTCCCCCCCCCCGACAACCTGGGCTATTGCAGATCCCCCCAAAACGGTTTCTTCTTAAGGTCGAGGTTTTCGCACTGCTGTCGGCGTCGGGCCTCTGGGCCTCTCGTGACACAGCACGTGCACACATTGATGGGCTTGTTTTCCACCACCACCAGAAGTTGAAGGGGGCAAGGAGGTGGAGGATGAGGAGGAGGACGAAGAGGAGGAGGAGGAGGAGGAGGAGGAGGAGGAGGAGGAGGAGGGGGAGGAGGAGGAGGAGGAGGAGGAGGAGGAGGAGGAGGAGGAGGAGGAGGGAGGAGGAGGAGGAGGAGGAGGAGGAGGAGGAGGAGGAGGGGGACCCTGGGTGAAAAGCCATACGTCTCGCCATACATCTCGCCTCCGTCAGGGTTCAAGCCACCGTCCCGCCTCAGCCCGCCCGGTAGGCCTCCCCTCGCGGCCCTCGGCCCGCCTCTCCGCGCGCGCGTGCCATGGCGCCCAAGTTCGACCCCAACGAGGTGAAGATCGTCAAGCTCCGGCAGTACGGCGGCGAGCAGGCACCCTCGTCCGTGCTCGCGCCGAAGGTGTCTCCGGGGAGAGGGAGGCAGAAGTGGGGATTCGGATGGCTTTTCCTCCGCCTTCCAGCCCCTTGCTGCGAGAACCACAACGGGACGTTTTCGTCAAGCTTCGGCCTCCGGGGGCCCTCACCGGGCCCCAGGACCAGGAACAACTGTTCGGGATGAGAATGTGGTCCCAGGCCCTAGACCTCCGGGGTACTTCGTTGTTAGTTCTGGGTCATCTTGCTTTGGGTCCTCTTGCTCTTCTGGGTCCTCGTGCTCTGGGTCCTCTTGCTCTGGGTCCTCTGGGTCCTCTTGCTCATCTGAACACGGCGTCGGAGTTCTGGGTCCTCTTGCTCCTTCTCCTCGTCTCCTCCGTTATCAGTGGTGCTGGCGGGGGTGCTCTGTCGGTCCAGTGAGAGCTCATCCACTTCCCGCAAGGTTTGATCGTCAACGCCGCTCTTGCACCTTTTTCGCGGGCTCTGGCGCGCGCTGATTTGCTGTTTCTCGCAGGTGGGGCCCCTGGGGATGTCTCCCAAGAAGATCGGAGACGACATCGTGAAGGGCACCTCGCAGTGGAAGGGCATCCGTGTTACGGTTAGGCTGACGATCCAGAACCGCGCGGCGAAGGTCGACGTGGAGCCTAACGCCACGAGCCTCATCATTAAGAGCCTGAAAGAACCTTTGCGCGACCGCAAGAAGACCAAGAACATCAAGCACTCTGGGAACTTGACCAAGCAGCAGCTCTTCGACATCGTAAGGCAGATGAGAGAGAAGAGCCAGGCCAAGGAGCAGGGGAGTCGGAAGCGCCTGCATGGTGGGATTGGGGGAAGGGGGGGAAAGGAGGAGGGACGAGGGAGGAGAAGGACTGGGAACGACAAGGGATGTGTGTGTATATATATATATATATGTATATGTATATATATATATATATATATATATCGAGACGTAATGCCGATGAGAACAGGAGGAAGGATTAGGAGGAGAGGAGAGACGAGGGAGGAGAAGGACTGGGAACGGCAAAGGGATGTGTGTGTATATGACGAGACGTAGTCCCGAGGAGTCGGGTGGGGCACCCGAGCTCTCTCCCATCCTGGAAGGCTTTGCTCGGGAACGTCGGGAGGGCAAACCTTCTGGCCCTAGAGCCTGTTGCAAGGACCGTCGAGGTGGAGGAGGAGGAGGAGGAGGAGGAGGAGGAGGAGGAGGACGGAGAGGAAGTGGAGGAGGAGGAGGACGAGGAGGATGAGGAGTAGGAGTAGAAGGACGAGGATGAGGAAGAGAAGGCGGAGGAGGAGGAGGAGCAGGAGCAGGAGGAGGAGGAGGAGGAGGAGGAGGAGGAGGAGGAAGAGATAGGGGAGGACCATCAGGATGAGCAGAAGGCAGAAGAGCCATGCCATGAAACGGGAAGGGCAAGGTCAAAGTCAGCCATATCGATACACCTGCGCCCGCTCGTCCCAGCTCCGTTGCTTCTCTCCTAGCTGGATGGAATACTGAGCATGGTGATGATTCTGACATCGATGCAGTTGCTGCTGCTGATGATGCTTATTGTGTGATGATGCTGATGCTGCGGCTGCTGATGATGACGACGGTAATCGCAGTGAGGATGCTTCCATTGACCACTGGTGACGATGATGAGGATGGTGATGCTAATGCCGCTGTTGCTGTTGCTGCTGATGATAATGATGCTGATCATGACGCTGACGACGATGTTGATGATGCTGATGGTGCTGCTGCCGATGATGGCGACGACGCTGCTGATGATGATGCTGGTCATGCTGATGATTATGCTGATGATGAAGCTGATCAGGATGGTGCTGCTGCTGCTGATGATGTCGATGCTGATGCTGATGATGATGCTGCTGCTGATGATGATGCGGCTGATCGGGATAATGGATTACGTTGGCGGTGATGGTGATGCTGATGCTGATGCTGATGCTGATGCTGCTTCTGCGGATGATGATGCTGATGATGATGATGATGCTGTTGTTGGTGATGATGACGACGATGTTGATGATGCTGCTGATACTGATACTGATGCTGATGCTGATGCTTCCGCTGCTGCTGCTGCTGATGACGATTACGATGATGCTGCTGATGCTGATCATGATGATGATGCTGGTGCTGATGCTGCTGCTGCTGATGATGCTTAGGATGCTGATTATGATTATGATGATGATGATGATGATGATGATGATGATGATGCTGATGCTGATGCTGATTCTGCTGATGCTGCTGATGCTGATGCTGCTGATGATGATGCTGATTGACGATGGAGACGATTCGATGATGATGATAATGATGATCATGATGCTGATGATGATAGTGATGGTGATGCTGCTGATGCTGCTGCTGATGATGCTGCTGATGCTGCTGCTGATGATGATGCCGATGATGATGATGATGATGATGATGATGATGATGATGATGATGATGATGATGATGATGATGATGATGCTGATGATGATGATGATGATGATGATGCTGATGATGATGATACTGATGATGCTGATGCTCATGGTGATGATGATGAAACATATGATGGTGATGGTGATGATGGTGGTGATGATGATGATGATGATGATGATGATGATGATGATGATGATGATGATGATGACGGTGATGCTTCTGTTGTTGTGCTTGTTGCTGCTTATGTTGCTGTTGATGCCGCTGCTGTTGTTAGTTTGGTTGATATTATTGGTGTTGTTGCTGTTGTTGTTGTTGTTGTTGCCATTGCTGTTGTTGATGATGCTGATGATGATTCTGTCTCGGGTTATATTGCTAACAGTAAGGCTGGTCATTATGCTTAAGACGGTGAGGGCTCGGATGAGGCGATGGTGAGTGTGGTGGTGGTGGTGGCGGTGGTGTTTGGGAGGAGGAGGAGGAGGACGAGGAGGAGCAAGAGAAGGAAAGTGCGGACGAGGAGGAGGACGAGGAGGAGGAGGAGGAGGAGGAGGAGGAGGAGAAGGGGGAGGAGCAAGAGAAGGAAGGTGCCGACGAGGAGAAGGATGCGGAGGAGAGGAGGAGGAGAAGGAGGAGGAGGAGGAGGAGGAGGAGGAGGAGGAGGAGGAGGAGTCTCGGCCACGCGCCAGGAGGAGGAGGTGGGTGCGGACGAGGAGGAGTTCAAGGTGGGTATTGACGAGGAGGATGGGGTCGCAGACTTGGCTCCGGTGCCCACGCCCCTCCGCCCTTCGACAGGAGTTCAGCGGCACCGTCAAGGAGGTGCTGGGCAGCTGCAGGGCAGTGGGCTGCACGGTGGACGGCACGGCGCCCGCCACTCTGACGCAGATGGTCGACGACGGCGAGTTCGAGCTGCCAGAGAAGTGAGCGCGGGCCAGAGAGGATCTGGGCCTCCCAGTTGGGGTCCGAATCGATGGGTCGCAGGATCGAGCCGCATCGCCGATCCAGCGGCGCCCAATTATTTTTCTACGCCGACGTGGCTGATGCATCGCCGATGTCGGCGATACATCGCCAATGCATCGGCGATGCATCGCCGATGCATTGGCGATTTGGCGCGATCCTCCGACCCCATGTACTCCGACCCCATCTAGGAGGCATCTAGAAGATCAGGGGCAACGATCGGGGGTGGGATAGGCTCAGGGGGCAACGCACCGACCTCAAATCGCCCATTGGTCGTCGATGGGGATTTGATGGCCGCCCAGGAAAGTGCAGACTCACCATCGGGGGCCTATCGCCAATATGTGGGGCGATGTATCGCCCATTCTGGGTCCATGGTATCCCCCCAGCGCCAGTACCCCCCCTATCGTTGCCTCCCAGAAGAGGAAAAGGGCTGCCGTGGACCCCGCGATCCCGGCAGGCTTTGTGGGACGTGCGCAGGCAGTGCTCTCGCCTCCTCCGCCTCCGCCTCCCCCTCGCTGTCCCTCTCAAGCAGGAGGAGGAGGAGGAGCAGGAGGAGCAGGAGGAGTGAAAGGAGGAAGAGAAGCAGGAGGATAAGAAGAACATCAAGAAGAAGAAGAAGAAGAAGGAGAAGGAGAAGGAGAAGGAGGAGGAGGATGACAGCGTCAATCGTGACACCGACTCCGACAGCGACAGCGACAGCGACCGAAGGATAACGAGGATAAGGAGGAGGAGGGTAGCAGCGTCGACCGTGACACTGATGCCAACAGCAACAGTGGCAGAGCGAGGCAGGGCAGGATAATGATGACGATGGTGATGATGATGCTGATGATAATGATGATGCTAATGATGATGACGGTGATGCTGATGCTGATGCTGGTGCTGCTGATGATGCTGCTGCTGATGATGCAGATGATGATGCTGGTGGTGATGATGATCATACTGATGACGATGACAATGATGCTGCTGGTAAGTGTGGTGCGGATGGCGATGGTGTTTGTGATGGTTGTGATGATGGTGGTGGTGGTGGTGATGATGATGCTGATGCTGCTGCTGCTGATGATTATGATGATGATGGAGATGGTGATGGTGATGACGAGGATGATTATCATGATGCTGGATGGTGGATGAATGATGTCATGGTTGACGGATGATTGCTGAGGATGACGGTTATGATTTGACGTTGTTGATTATGATGATGTTGATGATGGTATTGATGCTGGTGTTGATGATTATGTTGCTGCTCTTGGCGATGCTGATGAGGATGATGATGATGCTGATGATGATGATGATGCCACTCATTACGATGATGATTCTGATGCTGATGCTGATGCTAGTGATGGTGATCGGGATGGTGATGATGGTGATAGTGGTGGTGATGATGTTGATGATGACGATGATGCCAATGCTGACGATGATGACGATGATGATGATGGTGATGATGATTCTGATGATGCTGCCGCTGATGATGATGACACTTATGCTGAGTGTGGTGTGAATCTGAGATGGTGATGACACTTATGCTGAGTGTGGTGATTGTGAGTCTGACTCTGTCCATGATGATGACGGTTATTATACTAATGCTGGTGATTATGCTGATGATGGTGATGATGCTGCTGATGGTATGATGCTGATTATGATGATGTTGCTGCTGGGGGTGAAGAGGATGCTGCTGCTGCTGATGATACTGATACCGATGACTATGCTCTGGTGATGAATGTGATGATGCTGATGATGGTGGTTGTGGTGGTTCTTGTGATAACGACGGTGATGATGCTGATGATGATTCTCATCATGATGTTGATGATGCTCAAGATGAGGATACTGGTGATGAGGGTGATGCTGATGAAGATGGTGACGATGATGACGATGATGATGCTGACGATGTTTCTGCTGCTGATGATGGTGCTCAGGATTATGATGATGATGTCGATGCTGATGCTGGGTGGTGATGCTGGTGATGGATAATGATGATGCTGATGATGATGATGATGATGATGATGATGATGCTGATGATGATGATGATGATGTCGATGCTGATGATGACGATGACGATGCTGATGATGGTGATGATAATGATGCTCTGCTGATGCTGATGATGATGCTGATGATGTTACTGACGATGGTGTTGATGATGCTGACGATGATGTTGCAACTCTTGGCGATGATGGTGATGTCACTGATTATGATGATACTGATGCTGATGTATGGTCATGATGCTGACGGTGGTGATGATGCTGATGATGACGATGATGCTAATGCTGCTGATGATGATGCTGATGGTGATGAAAATAAACATGCTGCTGCTGCTGATGATGATAATCATGAGTGTGTCGATTATGAATATGTCTCTGACGATGATGATGATGATGATGATGATGATGATGATGATGACGATGATGGTGATGATGATGATGATGATGATGATGATGATGATGATGATGCCGACTGTTATTATACTGATACTGGTGATGATGCTGATGATGCTGATGCTACTACTGGTGATGATATGATGATGATGATGATGATGATGATGATGATGATGATGATGATGATGATGATGATGATGATGCTGATTCAGGTTGGTAATGATGTTGCAGCTCAGGGTGATGAAGATGCTGCTGCTGCTGATGCTGATACCAATGCGTGCGCTCTGGTGATGCATGTGATGCTGATGATGGTGGTTGTGGTGGTGTTGGTTGTGGTGGTGGTGATGACGACGATGCTGCTCATGCTGATGCTGATGCTGATGATGATGATGATCATCATCATGATGCTGATGATGTTCAAGATGCGGATAATGATGATGCTGATGATGCTCATACAGATCGCGATAATGATGCGGATTATGCTGATGATGTTGATGTTACTGCCGCTGAAGATGTTGATGCTTGTGATTATGATGATGGTAGTGATGGATGATGATGCGGATGATGGATGATAATGATGATGCCGATGCTGATGATCACGATGATGCTGATGATGGTGATAATGATGATGCTGATGCTGCTGCTGATGATGATGCTGATAATGATAATGATGATGACGACGATGATGATGATGATGATGATGATGATGATGATGATGATGATGATGACGATGCTAATGATGCTGATAATGACGATGCTGATGCTCATGATGATGATGATGATGGTGGTGCTGATGATGACGATGCTGATTATGATGCTGATGCTGATGCTGATGCTGCTGATGATGGTGTTGCTGATACTGATGATCATGCTGATGATGGATGGTGGTTGTGGTTGTGGTGGTGGTGGTGGTGGTGGTCGAGGAGGACCTTGAGGAGGAGGAGGAGGACCAGCGTAAACCCAAGAGTTATCAACACTGTTGGAATTCACCCTGTTCATTTCCATGGATGGAACTGCCTCGTCGGAAGACAACTGTTTGAAGACCTTGAAGCATGCCAAAACATTGTTCTCGGGATGTCCACGCCGCGGATCAACCTGATTGCTGCGTCCGGACGATCTGGAATCGTGCCATAACGCCATTTTTGGGACTTCAACACCGCGAACCAACATAATTGTTGCACCCGTATAATCCCGAATCCTTCCAAAACACCATTGCTGGTACGTTGGTCATAGGAACCTGTGAAACCCTTGCAAGTTTTTGAAACGAATGTGCGCGGCGCTAAGGCGAGAGCCACATTTTGAAAAGGAACCGCCCTCAATCCGTAAAATTCTTGCACTTCGTATAACGAATGTTCGCGGCGCCAAGGCGAGAGCCACATTTTGAAAAGGAAACGCCCTCAACCCGTGAAGCTCTTACAGTTTGTTTGAACGACTGCGCGCGGCGCTCAGGCGAGAGCCACATTTTGAAAAGGAGCCGCCCTCAATCGGTGAAGCTCTTGTTATTTTGAAAAACGAGTGTGCGCGGCGCGAAGGCGAGAGCCACATTTTGAAAACGACCCGCCCTCCATCCGTGAAGTTCTTACAAATTTTGAAAACGAATGTGCGCGGCGCTCATGCGAGAGCCGTATTTTGTAATCGACCCGCCCTCCATCTGGAAAGCTATTGCGATTCAACATCGTAAATGGTGAGGAAGTCGCAGGCGAAACGCCCAGCCCGCCCTAAAAACTGGCCTCGGGTTGCGACAGGGAGACGTTAGTTACAAGGAGGAGGAGTGGAGGAGGAGGAGGAGGAGGAGGGGGAGGAGGAGGAGGAGGGGGAGGAGGAGGAAACAGGAGGAGGAGGAGAGGAGGAGGAGGAGGAGGAGGAGGAGGAGGAGGAGGAGGAGAGGAGGAGGAGGAGGAGGAGGAGAAGAAGGAGGGTGACGAGGAGGGGAGGAGCAGCAGCAGCAGCAGCAGGACCAGGGACGAGCCCGCCGCGCGGACAGCGGCAGCCGGCAGCGTGCGGGGCCTCGAGGAGCGGCAGCAGGCCCCGTTTTTCCGAGGATTTTTTTCTCACGGCGTGGGCCCCTCGAGGGCTAGAGCCTTCAGGAGGGAACAAAGCACACAGACACAATTCATCGGCGATTCCCCAGAAGATATGGGGAAATATGGGAAGTGTGGGGTGGGGGGGGGAAGACACAAAAGCCCAGAGCATGGGGGAAACTAGGGGGAGTCTTTCCATGTGTGCGCGTATTTCTTTGTGTGTCCTGGGGCACCTTCAAACCTCTCCCTGGGACGAGATTCTCATCCCGAGTGGCTCTTGGACGGCCTGGCGGGGCCAGCGACGGCACCTGGGTGCCGAGAGCTGCCAGACACGGTCCGCCGTGGTCTTCTGCAGCGAGCGGCTGTGGAGGAGGAGGAGGAGGAGGAGGAGGAGGAGGAGGAGGGGGAGGAGGAGGAGGAGGAGGAGGAGGAGGAGGAGGAGGAGGAGGATGAGGAGGGGGGAGCACACGCCTACCTCCGCCGGTCCGCTTCCCTCTTCCCGAAGTCGCCGTCGGCGCGAGCGGGGAGCACACCGCGTGCTCTCGCCGCCGCGCCGCCCGAGCGCGACAGTCTTCCTCCCGTCGGGGTCGAACTCGGTGGCGCCGTGGCACGCGCGAGCGGGGAGGCAGGCCCTTCAGGAGCGAAAGAAGGACGTACATGTACATGAATCCACGCTGGTTCCGAGAGTACGCATTGCGCAAATGTTCGTATAACGCGGCCGGTCTCGCGGATCGAGGGGCCGTGTTCATGTACATAGCTGGGCGCGTACGTCCTTTGTGGGCTCCCTAGGCCCTTGGCCGCGAGGGGAGGCCTGCTGGGCTCCGAGCCGCTGGCGTCGGAGGATCGCGCAGCATCGCCGATGCACCGACGAGTCGGGCGAAGGGACCCATGCACATGCACCGATCCTGGCAAGGCCCATCCTTGACCCAGGATCGGTGCATATGCCTTCCCAGCCAAGGCAGGAGGGCGCATGCACCGATCCTTGGCTCGGGATGGGCCTGGCCGGAGTCGGTGTAGGTGCACAGCTCTCTTTCCTCTAACCATGCGGCTTCCTGTGGCGCCCGATGTTCTCGAGGCTGGCGTCGCCGATGCACCGCCGCCCTCGTCGTCGATGCGTCGCCGATGCATCTGCGATGCGGCGGCGATGCGGCGCGATCTTCCGACCCCCGATCTACTGCAGTTTCGCGTCGTGTCGACCAGCGGCGACCCCGCCGCCGGCGTGCAAGGTTGAACGCTGCCCGTGGCCCAGAGTCGGCCCATCGGTGAGCGATCTGGCGTAGGGGAAACTGCCGGCCGTTCAAGCTTGAACACTTCCCGCGGTGTCAGGAACCAGCGCCAAAGTCGGCACGGCGCGAACCTGCCGTACTCTGACCCCATCTCGGAGGGCTCAAGTCGTCGGGAGCACCGAACGGGGGGAATGGGCGTAGGTCAGGAGGGAAAGAACACAGACACAATTAATCTTCGACTCCCAGGAAAATATGGGAAAATATGGGAGTTGAGCGGGAAGACGAAAACCCAGAAAATATGGGGAAATATGGGGAATCATTTTATTTGTGTGTATTTATTTGTGTGTCCCAGGGCCCCTTCAATAGGGGGTGCTGCATCGACCCCCACTCGCCCACTGCTCGCCGACAGGGGCCCAGGAGCCCCAGGATCTGCCCAGGAGCGTGCGGGTTCCCGATCGGCGCGGCGTCGCCGCTTCCGGGCCGCCGCGTCCCCTGCCCATGCCTCCTCCTCCCCCTCCCCCTCCTCATCCCCCTCCTCCTCCTCCTCCCCCTCCTCCTCCTCCTCCTCCTCCTCCTCCCTCCTCCTCCTCCTCCTCCTCCTCCTCCTCCTAGTGGCTCCTAGTGGCTCCGTAGCTGTCCGTTACCGCAGAGCGATAAGGCAGCCTAAAAACAGTGCGGAGGCAAGGGCAGAAAGGGGTTCAGGCGGTGGCGGACGACCAGCCCGACTGAACAGACCACCTGAGAGGAGCAGACCTCCCGAAGCTCGCTCCCGAGCTGGGGTCCACTCCGTTCCTGAGCATTCTGAGACTATTCGCTGCATCACGGTTGCGAGGACCCCCTTTGCACAGAGACCCCAGGAGCCGAGACCGAGCGGACCCGAAAGCTCCGCAACACGCACACCAGGCCACTCGACCCCCTCCGAGCCAGAGCCTGTGGCTCCGATGCGCAGTCCTCGCAACCCTCGGCGGACCGCCGCAAGGCGTTAAAGCTATGTGCGTCCTCGTGCGGCCTCTCTTGCCACAAGTCGCACACCTGTACTGCTTGCCCGCCTTCTCGATTAAGTGCCCGTTGGGCTTGGGAATCAACTGCAAAACCCGGGGCTTGGGCCTTCTAGGCCTCCGCACCCTCGCAACATCAGGGAAATCTTTTACCGAGAAGTCGTTCATGACCTCGGCTACCAACCAGGCCGATTGCTTGACCAAGCTAGCACTCTGCTTGAGCTGGGCTTTGATGCGAGGGTTCGTGGGATGAGCCTGGGCCCCAAGCGTGGCGAGCTCGTCGGCCCGCCTGTTGCCCCTCCACTCCCACTCACACACTCCTTGCCTACGGGCCTGACCGAGGGAGAGGTGAGACCTAACCCTACGTACCGAAATCAGATCGCGTCCGAGAACCTCCGATAAGCTGAAAACCTCCCTCCACAGCTCCGAGTACGCTACATCCTCCAAGTTCTGCTCTGGGCCGAACCCCCATATATCCTCCACCAGTTTGCAGTCCGTAATTAAATCGAGCCCCTGCGGGCCCGCCAGGCGCAACGCCATGAGTAGAGCGTACACCTCCCCCGCCCCAGCAAGCTGCACGACGTGCGGCAGGGGCCCGCACGCCGAGCCGACTATGTGCCCGCTCTGCGTGACCGTGACCACTGCCCACCCCGCACGCGCCAGGGAGGGATGATCCTGATCGTACCCTGATCCGTCGAGACACACTCTTCGGTCGAGCACTCCGTTCGGCGGGACCACGTCCCACTTGAAACCAGCTTGCTGATATGGTGTGGGCCACGCCCACTCTAGCACGTCGCTCGGCCGCTGCTGGCCATCAGCAGCACCACCAGCAGCCGCTGGCACGGCGTCAGCCGCGGCGCCAGGCGCAGGCTGTGAGCCTCCCGCCTCGGCGCCCTCGGCTCCGCCTGCGGCGGGGCCGCCTCCGCCCTGCCCGCCAGGCGGCGCGCCGTCGGCGACCGCGGCCGTCTTCCGCTTCTTGGTGGAGAGCCGCTTGACGTGCTCCTCATGCTCTTTGGTGATGTTCTCCGCAAGCGACTTCGCCGAGCCAAACAAAGTCTGCGCCAGCTCCGCGATCCCACGCTGCATCTTCTCCTTCCTCTCGGCGGCCTGCTTCTGGTCCTCCTCGGTGACCTCGTGCGGCTTCGGATCGACCAAACCGTAGAGCGTCTCACACTCCCCCAGGTCGAAGCAGCTGAGGTCGCCCTCCAACAGCTTGGACAACGGCGCCCGAGGGGGGGGGGCTCGCTCGGCGCGCCCACCACGTTCGTGTGCAGGTGGCCCAGCAGCTCCTTGTACTGGCCGTCCGCCACCTCGAGGTCGCTGCTGAGCGTCTCCACCAACTGAGTCTGCTCCTGCAGCGCTGCCTGCATGTGCTCGAACTTGGCGACCTCCTGCTTGAGCCGCCCCTCGAGCTGCAAGACCCGCTGGTGCGCCTGCTGAGCCTGGAGCTGCAGCGGCACCGTACGCGGCTCCATGGCGAGCCGCTTCTTGTACTCTCGGATAGCCTTGTACTTGTCCTCCATGGCCTGGTCCCCAATCTTGCTCGCCAGCACGACCAGGTTGTCGACCTCCTCGTTGGACAGCTCCAGCTCCTTGCTCTTGATGCCAGGCGGGGGCTGCAATCCCGCCGCCCGCGGTGCCAGCCCGGGTGGGCTGTCGTTGTCTGCCGCGACGAAGTCGGCGCTCTCGTCTGAAGCAACTTCTTCCCATGACTTCTTGCAATGCTTGCAGAACCACTGCGACCAGGGCGTCTTCTTGCACCCACAGTGCTGGCAGCGCCACGTGTGAACGCCTTTGCCTCGCGGCCTGCTTGCCTCACGCTCACGACTTCCTGCTGCTTCTGCTGCGCGGCCTTTGCCTCCGTCAT